ATGAACTGAAAACCAACAATAATTCAATAGTCTTGGTACTATTTTTATTAAAAAATATTAACAATATTTAAATGAATACTATTATAGTATTATTATATTAAATTATTATTAGCTTTTTTTTTTTTTTTACAAATTTCTCATTACTATTGTTTTTAGCCTGCACAATAAAAATATTAAAATATAATTTAATAGTGTTTGAAAACATACAGATTGTGTAAAGCGTATGCTGAGTTGTGGTGAAATCAATATCTAGGTCAAAGCAGAGGCTGAGTTTGATTTTTCTCTTAACTCGTTGTAATTCATATCAAGCTTATCCAACTTGTAGTTCAGAACTGCATTAAAATCTTCAATGAGTTGTGTCACACATCGAGACTTGGACAAAAACAATTAAAACATAAAAGAAATACACTCTGGTTCTCCTTTTTTGCCCATTTTGCTCCCACTAGATAAGAAGACACCCTGAGGGGATCGTACCGTGAGAGGGCAGCCTGGGTTCAAATTCATAGAGAGCAACACAGGAGGTGAAATCAATATCAATAAAAGAAGGGTTCCATAAAAAGCAATGAGAACATGAATCAGCACCGCACATGCTCCTTTTCCTTTAGAATTAAATTGTTATCACATTGTAGGCACAGAACCAAGATGTCCAGCGTGTTATTTAAAGACACTTTAACTGGATGAGATGATTGGACGTTACTCATTCCTTCATATGTTTTAGATTTACTGGGAAGACATTGAAAATACGTTTTTACTGTCGGTCCAGAATCACTTGCCTCCTTGTAACTGTGGTTGCATTTTAGATGCTTTTAATATCCTTTTTTACAAATAAATAGGTTTGAGTTGTGATCTGTTTAGCTTCATTACAGCAGGAGTAGGAATTCTGAGCAGTGGGATAAAAAACATGACATAGCAAACGTCATGGGACGTACGTCTTCTTACACAGATGTAACTACACCACTGTATCTGCTGCCAAAAGTATGCCTTCTAAATCAGCAAGTGTAAACTTGGTTGCATAAAATATATTAAAGGTTATCAAAGTAATATGAGTACATGCTTTGGAAACACCCCAGTACTAACATATGACCCTTTGAGACATGTGTGTTATATTTAACTCCACTTTACATGATAGTGAGATAAAAATAGAACATTTTCATTTAGAAATGTGTGAAAAAGTACAAGCGTTTGCAACACTTCAGTAGGTAACAGAACAACCTTGAAGACCACATGTACATGTGCAGCTGCTCAGTATTTAAACACAATAACCAACAGAAAATATCATATACATTCAATTATGTGTTAAATTACCAATCTAAAGGAAACAGTAGCTATTTGTGCAATGATCATAATGCATTTAAATTGGATTGAGGGTGTTTTCTTATGTCCTTTATATCAAATCAGTCTCAATTGTATAAATGTATTTCCCCTCACTGACAGTTAATTAAATCAATATTAGATCACTCTGGTCAATGGGGATGGCTCTGAATGTTAATGTTCTTGTTTCTTCACCTCTCGTTAGTATTCAGCCATGCAATGCATGCCAAGATACTGAAAACGCACACGTTTTCTTTACCACTTTGAACAGCTAAGCTTTACAGTGTCTTAGAAAAAGGCAAAGCAGCCAAACAATGCAAGCTTTGTGCTGAGATGTGAAAGAAAATACACGGAGCGAGGCTGTGACAGAAAATAGAACGTTGAAATTTAGCTCCTGCTTTTAATTGGATCTCATTGGTACTTAAAAAGTAAATGCATAGCGGACTGTAAATACTGTAAATGCACATTCCACACCTCCTCTTGACACTGGAAATGAAAACAAGCATTACTCACATGCACACTCGTTCATGAGGCTTGGATCTGTCAGATAAAAGTAGGACTAAATATACAGAACATGTGCACCTAGGTCACTTTTTAGGTTTTCACTGATGGTTTTGCTGAGCAAACATGCAACTCCCCCCGTTCTGTTACGCTCAGACTGCAGTTCATTATATCTCCTGGAAGCCGCCCAGTACACCTCTGTCTGGGACACAGGTTCCTCTGGGGTTGGCAGCCAGCTGCTTCATTCAACGGCCCTCACTGTCGAGACATGGACTCCTCCATCCTACTGCTGGTTTTAGACTTTCGTGAAAGGCTTTTCCAGTCTGACAATATTGAAACGCATACTTTTTAAAAAATAATTACTCAAATAGACAACATTATTTCTGACTGACATGCCCTCAAACAGTTCCTATATCCATACAATAAAGCAGCATTGTGCTAATTCACGACAAAAAATATAGTGATTGTGTGTTTGCACTCAACAGAATGTCTAAAAACATATAATTAATTAAGTTTAGGAAAAAAAGCTATTTCTGAAACATCACAAGCAGGAAACAGATGCATATCGAGCGATTGTCACTGTTTTGTGTAGAAAAAGTGCTTTCTAGTTAATTATACACAGAATAAATTATATGGTGTCAAATATGTGAGAAAAAACTGAATAAATAAATAATTATCTTGTGTGGTTTTAATTTAGTAATATATGCACCATTCATATTCTGTGGGCACCGTGTCTATGCTGTGAGCTTTCTAGAATGTTCAGTTTTAGTTTAAAGTTATAACTGTCTTTTCATTCTTTTTTCTTTGTATTAATTTATTTGCTACAGACAACCCCAGTCTTCTCAGACACGTTCCCGTTACCGTCCAGGTTCTGGACATGAACGATAATCCACCCGAGGTACCAACCGATGAGGAAGTCATTGTCTGTGAGAACTCAAGGCCCGACCAGGTGATTCAGCTGAAGAAATGCCATGAGCACAGTTCTGCTTTCACTTTATCTTTATTCACACATGTTCAAAACATTCCTGATCTGAAAGACTGCTGGAAAAAGGAAAAAGGAAGTAGCACACCAGCCACAGTCATTTCCCTGACTGTTTGCACTCGGCTCTTGTTTCTCAGCATTCTGGGCTGCTCAGCGAGGCCAGAACTGTAACGACTCCTACGGTGCTGGAGAGAGCTGCTTAATCATCTCTATTCAAAACGAGCATCTCAGCAGCAAACCATGACAGCTCTAAACCGAAGCTCATTCCAGTTTGCTCTCAGTAGTCTTTGATTCATTCAAATTAAGAAAGTTTTGAGATATAGAGCAATCAGCAGCAAGGAAATGACTGAAAGGCTGGTTCTGCAAAGGATGATGGAGTAAAGACGGAAAGACCCAACTAGATACATTTTTAATAGTTCAAAGCTGGTAGACGTAAAGTTTAATAGAAGTTTGTATTAAATTTGAATTGCAGTCAAATTGTAAGCTCAATGCTCTGAGCTCAAGGGATTAAATAAGAGCTATAATTTCTTGACGACAGTTGACTCCTACATTGAGCAGACGATGAATGGAAAGGAACGCAGCATTAATACTCGTTTTTTCTAAAAACTTTTTGCATTTCATTTTTTTATACCAAAGCAGCAAGTTGTGAAATAATTAGTCAATTGATATTTAATAAAACATCAACCAAACACCTAGTTTTACCAATAAACTAGTGTGTTCAATGCCATGGCACAGTGTGTTAAATCACAAACAGCTTTCTATACGTCTGGGACAAAAAGGATTCAAAAACATGTAAATATCTCTGGAACACCTACTGGTTTTCTTTAAATTGAATGTACATGCCAGAGCCTTTAGTTTTACTTTAAAACCCCAGCTTTGTCTAGTAATGTATAATCAAACGGTTCCTACTGCTTGTACTACGATTCCTACTTCACGATTTTTCACTTATTGCGGGGCTTCAGGGCACGGATCCCCCGCGATAAACGAGGGACTACTGTATACACCATCTTCACATAGTGGGCCAACCAGTTTGATGGTGATAAGATGGTTTCTGGAGTCCGCCCTCTCCCCCCGTCAACTCCTCTGAGGCAGCCATAGCCAAAGTGGTTCAAAACATCAGAGTTCATGCTCAATCATCCAGGTACGCTGGTAAAGACTCTCAGTCGTCCAGGGCGTGGTAAATTCAAACAGGTTGAAGACAAAACCAGATGAACTTTATTTGTAACAGAAGACGTTGTAACAGGAGCTTTAGCTCTTCACGTGAGAAACTAAATGTCTTCTGTTACAAATAAAGTTCATTTAACAAGGTTCATGCTCAATCATCCAGGTATCAAACCCAATCATTTCCAGTAAACTGTTTCCCCACCAAGCAGTAAACTCCTTAAGTGGACCAACCAGTTTGCTGTAGCTAAGATGGTTTCTGGAACTCCTCAGACTGATGAAGCCCTTCGGATAGAGGGCAAAATGTCTCTATAAAAAGTAAACTGTCCAGATGACCTCACTGAGAATTATTGGATAAAGTCCAGATTTTTTTTTTGTCCTACCTTTTTCGAATAATCCAGGCAGAAAATCAAACAATTTCAGTCAGATCATCTGGATGGTTTATTTTTTTGTTGAGTTGTTTCGTCCTTCATCCAAACGACTTGATCAGTCTGAGGAGCGACAACAAACTCAGTCCCACAAGCAGGACACTCACAAATGTGAGCTGATAAAGTCCTTTGGATGAAGGATGAAATGTCTCAACAGAAAAAAAAAAGTCCAGATGACCTGACTGAACTTCGTTGCATATCCTACCTGGATTACTGAGCATGAACTTTGATGTTTTGAACCACTTTGGCTGCCCCAGAGGAGTAGATGGGGGAGAGGGCGGGTCCCAATTCAATTCAGTTTATTTATATTGCAGCGAGTCACAACAGAAGTCATCTCAGAAACCATCTTATCAAACTGTTTGGTCCACCATGGGAGTCTGCTGCTTGTGGGACTGAGTTTATTGTGACTCCTCAGACTGATGAAGTCCTTTGGATGAAGGACGAATTGTTTCAACAACCAAAAGAGAAACCATCCAGATGACCTGACTGAACATTGTTGGATACCATATGCTATTATCAAGGTTTATTTTGTTGTTGTTTTTTTTTCATAGAAATTAAAAATATAATTGATCTCATAGCTCAAAACATAATTTGAATTAGTAAATGTATTCAGATGAGACTGGCATGTTTTCTTACATCGCTGGCAGAGAGACGTCTCTGAAAAAAGCTACATATCACTGAATAAATTCAAATAAACAATGAATAAAAATCTAAAACACTTGAGTCTATATTTTCAAAACCAAACAGACACTTGGAACAGATTAGCACTTACTCAGGCATGGATTTCTTTAGATAGCAGACATTTTTCATCTATCAAGTCTTTTTTAAATTTATTTTTATTCCAGTGGCATCGTCTAGTTTTTGTCTACTCTTTGAGCAAATACATCATAATTAATGTGGCTTATCTAACTAGAAAAATAAATAAAAGGTTCCTCATCTGTTTTAATTTCATAAAAAATAAGGACTTTGGCTGTACGTTTAGATAAATGTAAGTATGAAAATGACAAATGTGTCATTTTCATTCAGATTTTGCTTTACAGAAAAAAGTTGAACAGTGCTTAAAACACTATTCCTGTTTGAAACACACAAAAATAACACTTGCTTAAAAGATGAGCAAATTTTATAATGATTATCTTTTTTCATAATTATCATAATATAGGAATAATCCTTATCTAGCAGTCGTTAGTTTAACCAATTACACGTAAAGGCTGACTACTCACCTTCAGACATACCAGCGAAGCCACAACTGCATGTAGCTGGAAGACAATAAGAAACAATGTCACTCTTATTAAGAAATACAATATCTGAGCAATAATATAAGCAACAAGCACCAATAATCAGGACAGGCTCACTCCTCTGTCATTGTACCAGTTTTCTGTTAGAGGAAGCAGAGGCTGTCCCACAAGGTCCATGGACAGTAAAGACCTGTGTGTGTCCTTTCAAAAGAGGTTTAGAAGAACTATTTCTCTCACCGGGTATATTCAATTTATGTTCTTTGACATGTAGAGAGAACCGATGATCATAACATGGTGCCATAGGGAAAGCGAGTGCTGCTGTGTCGAAGTCAGAATTTACTTTGTGTCTTTTGGCCAACAGGTGATCCAGACTGTCACAGCAGTGGATAAGGATGACTTTGCCAATGGACAGCGGTTTACTTTTGCTTTGCCCAGCCAGCTACCAGTCAATCCCAACTTCACCTTAAAAGACAATGGAGGTAATCAAGTTAATCAAACTATTTGTGAGCATTTCTTATGAGTTTTGCACGTTACTCGCATGGGGCTCCATGTTGTTCCCATAACCAAGCTATGCTGATGAAGATTTTCAGTCATCCAGGACATGGTAAATTCAACAAAGTTAAAGACACAAACAACTAGACTTTATTTGTAACAGTAGAAGTTTCCCTTCTTATCCGAGGAGCTTTTTCAATCCAAAGAACAGAGTGTGTGGTTCGAGTTATAAAGCTGAGGTGAGCTAGATACTTATGCAGATTGCCCTATCACTCCTCACAACAGAGGTTTGTTAGGGTCTTTGTTCGTCTGACTCACAGGCCACTCTGGTCACATGGATGAAATTCCTGATAGGAGTGAAAATGGCTGGGTGTCAGACCTAAAGCTGCATTATGAGTTTTTGAAAGCTGAAATTTGGAATGTGCGATATATACGGTACACGGTAGAAACGATAGACATTTAGCTTATGATAGAGACCTATCTTCTACCGGCTTACTGCAGTAATGCTGTGTCTGATGTAAAATCAGAGTTGTCAGTTTTAATTGTTTTAGCTTTAGAGATTGCATTTGAGTTTAAAAAAATAAATAAATAAAATAAACCTGCTCTCTGATCTGTGAAAAGAATGCTGTGTTGTATGATTTTACAGTGAGACCCTCTGGTCAAAGCCACAGAGGAAACTGGTCGCCATTTTGTGTCAGCTCTCCTTTAAACAGAAGGAGACGCCCACTCGAGGGTTGGAGGGTGAAGTGTTTTCAGTGTAAAATGCTGCTCTGTTGCTGTTCATTTCTGAACACTGGAAACTGTTAACAACATATTATTTTGTTTAAAAGATATGGCTAAAACTACATTTGATAACTTTTGCACTGTTTTGCGCTACAAGAAAGAAGCCTAATACTCAATTTGTTTTTTTATTTAAAAACTCTCTGGACCAAGTAGTAGAATTTTCTTCATTGCAATTATTTTTTGGTATAGCAGTTTTCAAAATAAATGATGGCAAAAGAACACCCTATGCTTTGTTTCATTCCTATTGTAAGTTTTATACCAAAACATATTGTGATATATATCGTTACCGCCACCCATCACAATACATATCGTGATATGAATTGTATGCCTTATCGCACATCCCTAGCTGAAATCTGAGACCTCCTCTGTTAAAGATGGTTTCTCTCGTTTTACACCAATGGCTTCCTTCACTACCCCTCTAAAACCATCTGTCTTCTTGGTCCAACATAGAACATGTTGGTCCTCAAATGAGTGTCCCTTCTCTGTGAGGTGAACAGCTGAGTCTTGTTCTGAAGAGCTGGCTCTCCTGCGTTGAGCCATGTTTGTGTGAAGAAGCTGTTTGGTTTCTCCTCTATAGAGATCTGGACATTTCTCGCTGAACTGAACTGTATATCACGCCACTCTGTTTGTGTTTGGGTGTTTTGTCCTTAGGGTGCACCGGCCTCTGTCTGAGAGTCCTGTCGGGTTTGAAATGAACAAGTTCAGTTGTTTTTGTCTTGAAGTTTTTTTAACATAACCAAGCTACTGTAAGTTGTCCTTGTTTCCTCATTCTTTTGAAAAGTAGAAACATTGTTACCATATTAAATGGGTGTGGTAAGGATGCAGATGCTGCTGGGATATGTGTTGATTCCAGTCTGTGATAAGCAGAAGTCATAGAGCTATGGCATGTGTGCACTTTCTGTTGTCAAATGGATAAGCCACTCGGCCGCTCCCACTCTCCGCTTCCTTTGTATTATACTGGGCCTGCCTTTGGCCGGCAGTGAGCGTTGCCATAGCAACAATTTCAGTGTCAGGTGAATACCTAGCCCTGGGGTGGGCTGCAATCATAGGGCTTTTATAAGCTCTCAGCCAGAAGATCTTACGGTCGCCTGCTGAGGAAGAAGAGTTCACAGCGCTCCGGATGCCAGGGAGCAGCATAAAAACAGAATGGAAGGTCACATGAGAGAGATAACAAATAAATAAATAAATAAATAAAAAGCCAGGGATAAAAGAAGATAGCTGTTTTTAGCTCTTTGTCCAATTGCTTCCTGTAATAAGCTTTTGCTTGCATACTTTCACTACAGCGTTGCTGCTTTTATTACTGTAGTTCTGCATGCTGCATGTCTAGCACTGAGAGACATCTCTCACCTTATGTCTACACACAACTGGTAAAGATCATAGGATTCAACGCAAGCCAAGAACAGACTGCAGCTCTGCCCCAGGGACACTACTCACCTTTAAGGCAGAGGAATAACTTAAATAGACAAAAGTAGTGCGTAAATAGGACCAGTTTAATACATTATAACCTCAGGCAAGTGTGAAGTCAACTAATTAAATAACAGAAATGGATGTGTGATGGTATTTAATAAAAGAGAAGACAGGATATTTACTTTACTTAATCAGTTTAATTTGATTCTAAGCCACTGATGTTACAGAAACTATAATTCCTCAAACATTTAAACAATATACCTCTTGCAAATGAAGTCTGTTTAAACATTCAGAGCCTGGTGTAAAGCCTCGGGCTACCGTGAGACGTTTAAAATCCCAACTCTTTGAGTGTTCATGCTTTTGCTGTTCTCTGTGGACGCCATCATGTTTGTTTGTTTCTGTAAGAAGCATCTTGCTAAAAGAACGGAGTTTTGTGATTAAAAGCAGTTCTTGCTTTTCTCATCGCAGCGTTTATTTTAATAAAAAGGGAAGAGACAATAAGTGAAACAAATAACTCTTCCAAGATGCATTTTGATTAAACAATGTAAATGAATTATACTGGCTGCACTGTTCTCAACATAAAGCCTTGGTTTTACATTGATGAACAGAAACAGAGCATTGTTCCACTTGGTGCAGAGTCCCAGTTAAACAGATAAAATGCTTGTTTTTCTTTCATAATACCAACAGTTGGAAACGTTTTCTGCTTTGGCAAAATGATCTTTGGGAAACTTGTAAGATTTGTTCTAAAAATATATTTATCTAGTTGTGAGTATCACCAGAGCACACAGGGCAGGAAGCTCTTCTTTTTTAAAGGATTATTAGCAGATTTTACTTGATGTGGCGTTATTGAGCCATATAGTTGGTGTTTCGGTTCCTATATGATCTTTAAAGCTTTTGATTTTCTGATGAAATTATTTGGATGAAATGAACTAAAAAAAAGTACAACTTTTATATGCATTGGTAAGAATTTAGAGTTTATTATTTACTCCTCTGAAAAAATGATAAGAAAGTAGCACAATTTAAATTTTTACAATTTACAACTATTTAGCATTTAAATGTATCCTGCTTGCACCGTTATATTCTACCATGTTGTTTTTTATAGCTCTCTTTAGGACGTTGTAAATATTCACTTGTGGCACTTTATTTTTGTACCCTTATTGCATGCTTGTAGTATTTCTTGTTTGTTTGCTCTTTGACTTTTTAGTGATTCAAATCTGTTCTTCTCATCAATTTCATGTTAACCTTGTGATACAAATAAACACAGCTTGAACTTGAACACATCTTTTTTTTTTTTTACTTGAACACATCTATGTAAAACATGTCTGTATGTGCGGCTTTAACAAAAACCGAGGGGATATCAGCAGCACTAGATCCTTAAAGGTTGTGTCCCTTACCAAGAATAAAGAAAAAGGGTGTTGGGCACAAAGTCATTCCCCAAAGAGCACAGTAAGAACTGCCCCTTAGGTCCCCTTCACTCTGGACGACGATCCAGTTGTGCTCTTTACAATCTATACCATATGTGTCAAACTCAAGGCCTGGGGGCCAAATGTGGCCCTTGTTGACATCTTATCTGGCCCCCAAGATGTTGTTTTAAATGCAAAATACTTTTATCACTTTACTTTTTTCAGTAATATTTGATTATGATGTCAAAAGTACAACAGAGAACATCAAATGAGACCAATCAAACTCTTGTTGAGGAACCTGCGACCAAGAAAATATGTTGTGTGTCTAACTTAACCCTGTACACATTAACATAGCTTGATTGTCAAACATAGGAAGGAGGACCTGCTGTGATGGCCTCACGCCTTTGCTCCTATACCTTTATCAAGACAAGGTCATAGAAACAACGTGGGGTATACATGGAAGTAGCATCATGCTAGCATGGCGTGATCTTTAAACATGCAGCTGCATTCTGACAGTTTGAGAGCAATAGAATGCAGATAGGTAGTAAAGATGCAGCGATGCATGTCAGGGACAAACCAAACAGCAGGAAACAACTATCTGGTTGGTACTGAGTGTAGCAGCATCACGGCTGACTTCACTCTTAAATAGTTTTTTTAGCATATTTGACACAATCCAGCCACATTCTAATAGAAGGTATAGATCAGGGCTGTCAAACTCACTTACAAAACTGGGCCAAAGTTAAAACCTTTTTCAAACTAAGGGCTGGTTTCAGAATCTACATTAACTACAAGTGCTGCATTTGGTCAGAATGTTTGTAGATGGTTATTTGTAATGAAAACCCTAAAGCATCCTTATTACTCTCTTGAAAACCCAACCAACACTTTGCAAAGATCATTGACTTTCTGACTGATTGTTTTAAGTCATAGAAAGGCAACTATCTAGTCTGATGAGGGGCCTAACTTCATTATTGTGTTTTAGTTTTTTTGTTTTAGTTATAAACCATTAAACATCGTGGGATTTTTGAGAGGTACTGCACAGGCTGAACAACTGGGAGATACAAGTAGAGGCAAGACTGAGGTGTTTTAGACATGTCCAGAGGAGGGACAGGGGTTTGGACATGTCCAGAGGAGGGACAGTGCTTTGGACATGTCCAGAGGAGGGACAGTGGTTTGGACATGTCCAGAGGAGGGACAGTGCTTTGGACATGTCCAGAGGAGGGACAGTGGTTTGGACATGTCCATAGGAGGGACAGTGGGTATATTGGTAGGCATGTGTTAGAAATGTAGCTGAACATACAAAGAGGAGATAAATGGATGCAGTTAGAGAGGACATGGAGAAAGTTGGAGTGAGGACTGAGGATGCAGAGGACAGAGTGAGATGGAGGAGGACTCGC